GGTTAATAACTATTCCACACTTGATATATCTATCACACATCATTGTGGTTGTGGCCGTTACTCTATACATTGTTTGAACTTTGACATCAGCCATATTGACACATTATCCCTTTTTAAGTTATTGCTCAACATTTAAAGATAAATTGCACATTAACGACAAGTCTACCAGAATCTGGTTAATTACCACGATTTTTTAATAATACTGTTTGAGAGAAATTAAATGACGAAAATGTTATCGATGAAACAAAATATATATTGGGCAAAGATCAATAATGAGGCAGATAATCATGTCAAGTTAATTTTAACAATATATACACACAGTATATAAGTATTTACCTAATTTAATTTTTAAAATTCACAGTCATTCAGTGTGACTACTGACTACCTTTGGTTAATTTATCTGTTGTCAAATTGATTAGATTTGATTAATTTATCTTTTGTAAATCTGAAAATTACTTGTGTTTGCATCAACTAAAGAATATTGCATAATATTTTAGATAAAAAAATTTGGAAACTTGAGATCAAAGTAAAGAAAACTAGGAAGAGGGTCTCAATATTTCAGAGAAAGACAAAAACGCTGTTTACAAAGCCCCAAACTTCTTTGTGACAAGTTAAAAAGACTATACACAGTCAGTCGCACACAAACTTAAGACTAAGACTAAACAGAAAATAACACACTTAAGGAATTTACCAGCAAGCAAAGGCAAATGATCATGGGGCTCCCAAGAGAATCGGATCACACAAACCCGACCCGTGTTCTCCGAGGGCCGAGATGCTTAGAGACCGCTTCCTCATCTTTTCTTTACCTGACCAGAGTCTTGTGTTACCGTCCTCACATGTGAGTAGCGATGTACATAGCTGAAACGGCTCAACCAGCTGCTGGTCCGCAGTTCGAAGGAAAAGGTCCAAGTTTTGTATGTACTTATCGTCTTTTGTTGCCGGCTTATGGTTCTTTTCAGACATTACCGCAACTGTATCGCGAGACTCTTCCTCCTCGTCTGTCCAGTAGCCTTTGTCTTCCATTGCAAGATCATCGTACTCCTCATCCGACTTCGTCGATTGTTCATCAACTGATCCCACCTGTAGAGGATTTACCCCAACACTCTTAGGACATTGAAACAAGCCTCGTGGAATCCAAGAAGATATAATTATTAACAAAGTGTTTACCTCATCATGGTCCCGCTTGTTATCATCATCGCTAAAGTCTGTATCTGGCTCTGGTTGATCATCCTCCACCTCTTCATCCTCTTCATCGCTCCCATGCACGGACTGCTCCTCCTTAAGCTGAAGGAAAATAACATAAGACGATACAGAATCATCAGACAACCTTCCACATACGAATCAAACAAGAAAAAAATGGTTTTTGGAGTACCTCTTTAGAAGTTCCTTCAGACATCCTAGGCGAGCTGCAGCAAGAAGAGTAATAACGGCTGCCGGTTTCACCCATGTCAGCTCTTAAGTCATCTACACTCCCAGCACGACTCGTGGCTCCATCACTAGGCCAAGCACTGATCCCAAATAGACCAAACTGAAGATTCACCGGTTCAGCTTTCTGTAGGTATCCATAAATGGGATGCTCCATTCCATCTGCCACCATTATCTCATTACAAAGGACAGGCTTCCCGCTCTCATCAACCTTACCGCCAACAGGCCAAGTTCTTGCGAAAGAGCCATCAGTATTCAGAAGAGCCATTAGATGCCTAGAAGAACCTTTTCTTTGGATCAGCTGAAACATTCCTTTCGAACTCAATGAATTGGCTGTGCATTGGTTCCTGTACTCATCGTCGATCACAGAGACGGTATTAGTTGTAGCATCATAGAGCTGCTCTCCTGCTTCTCGCCTACGCAGGCAACTGAAGACTGTGGCGTGGATCGCAGCCACACTCTTATCGACATTGGTATTGTTTATCTTAGGAACGAGATGTTTGTCAGCTCGTTTACACAAGTAATCCTGTATTGTTCTGATGTTACGTATATATTTTACGTATTTGTTTTTCTCTGGGTCCAGGGTCATGTACTTGGCCCTGACTGCAAATCGTTCCAAGTGTTTCTCCTCGTTCGAGATGTATACCATAAATGGAACAATCGAAGGATGCTTTTTCATCAGTCCCATCTGCAAGCAAACAAGAAGTTAGAATATAGAAATGCCACAACTTCAAATCGTAATCTGTTAAGAGAATTAATAGGGGGCTTACCACAAAGTTAAGGCTTAGATGGACACCTTCAACAACCACAGACTCTTTTCGTTCTTCCCATGCGGTAATAAGCCTATCGAGATTGTCAATAACCATTTCACTTTGAGCCTTGTATCCTTCTACAGCCATTTGCTTAGGACTTAACAATACAGGGGTGGTTGATTTAGATCCATTATCCGCCTGTTGAGTATTATTAGACTTAACACCTTCAGAGGCATTTGCTTTTTCATCCTCAAGTGGTGTTTTTTCATAACCATCCAACTTCTTGGCTCTTCTTCTTTTGGCTTTTGACTCAGCAACTGCCACAGGGTCAAGGTACTCTCCAGCATGGTACGTTGAAGCCCACAGCAGAGGATTCTCCTTCTCATCAACGAAACTCCTCATCATGTGACGGATTGAGTCGGTTGAGACCACTGTCGTAATCCCCAGCCTGCTTCCCTGTACAAGAATATCCGGCGTTCTAAAGCCTGTGGAAAATAAGTGAAACGGTACCTAGCCTAATGTCTACTATACAAAAGAGTACTGAAGGATCTCATGTCGATCTACAGCGCTTGCAAATAGATGTGACGAATAGTACCAGAAGTGCGGAGAGTGTAGATTTGCCACAGCCACTAGTGCCGCAAAGGAGAACAGTCACAGATTCTTTCCTTTCTCGAATCCTGCAAGAAATGATAAGGATAAGAAGGATCAAAAGGCGGTTCCACGAAAAGACATAAGAGGTAGCTAAGGAAGTTTGAGATGCACCATATAGTCCCACAGATAAAGCTTTGCAGAATATTTTACAACCATAATCAGCATGACTAGTGTAACGGAAACGTTGAACTAATAAAACACTTATGCAAGAAAAGATGAAGCTGAACACATAATTAAACAGAGACAAAATGAAAGAAAAAAAAAAAGAAAAGAGGCCCTTAGATAAACACATGTTCCTAAAGGTAGGAAATCTACCTGCATGCGAGAATCAAGTCTGCCCTTTGGTCGTGACCCACATACTTATATTCAGCCAGAGCATCACAGACAACGTTCAAGAATATTTCCCGTGAAACAACAACGGTTGTGCGCCTTTTATACATCTCAAAAGGCTTACTCTTATCAACATCATCATTGTTAAGCTTTTCTACACCAGGACAAGCTGAAGCAGCATCACATGACTTGTCAAATTCAGGTTCTTTCCTATGCGAGGGCGAAAGAATCAAGGATCCTTCACTTCTTATTAACTCGAAAACCCTGCGGCTAATCTGCACACAACACAGAAAAATAACAAATCAGGATCTACCAAACTCAAACAAGGCATGAAAATTGCAGAGTTACAAAACAAAACCATCAATGAAACCTTGTCTGGATTCAAAGAAAAATTGTAACTTTACAAGATACCAAAGCAAGCTCATGAATAAGACATTGATGATTGATCATTCACACACGGAAAAATGAGTGCAACAAATACTCAAAAGGAAAACTAAAGACATGGGCAATTCCACTATATATACACAAGAAGTCAAAGAACTCAGAATACAATTAATCAGGACCCATCTTAATATGTGTCCCTGCCACTATAATTTGCACATTAAAAACAAAAATAGACATGTCGGTCGACACAGTAATGCCAAATCAGAGGAACATCTTCTAATCCTGTCCAAATCCAAGACACATGACCGTTCCAGAATCCATAAAAAATCCACAAATTAAACGACAAGAATCAAAAGTTATAATCAAAGAATCCAATGAAAGTGATGACCTTGAAGGCGTGACGAGCTTTGCATCCCATAAGCTGAAGAGTACTCTGCAAAACCGGACGAGTATACCGGAAAGAATCTTTCCAATTCCCGGTTCTGTCATCTTCCACAATCGCCGCCGTATCCAAACCATCAACCACCACTATGTACATCACCTTCGTCGTCTCCGCCATATCTCTCTACCCAGAAAAAGAAAAAGAAAAAACAACCCAAATCAAATCTCGAATTGGACATTGATAATAAAACCGATTACATGCAGGATCATAAAAATTACCTGGAGATCGGAGAAATTAGGGGTTAAAAACAGAGAATGTGGTTGAATGTATACTGTTTATAAGGT